TCCCGGCCCTGGGTTGACTCTGCCACCGCAGCCTGGGCTGAACCCACCAAGGCACAGCCCGTCCTGCGCACCTCGCTGCAGCCACCCAGAGCACCAGGACGTCCGCCCAGGGAGCAGCATCAGCCCCCTGAGCTGCTCCGGTCTGACAGCCCCGGCAGCCAGCACCAGACACACCAAAAAAGAAAAGTGTGTTTTTGACTGGAGGTTTCTAACGGGTCTCCGTGTGTGTGCTTGAAGGATTAACAGTGTCCAGAGGTTTCCCGTGCTGGGCAGACGCTGGGCGGCTGCATCAGGTCGTCACAGCAACCCGCTAACCATGGCCCTAAGAGCTGCAGTTCCCAGTTTGATCTCTTCTGTAGTTTCTTTTAATTACAGATGAGGGTGCCTGGAAAAGCCGGTGCTGGAGCACACCAGGGCCCTGGGAGCAACTGGTGGCCCTGGGCCCTTGGCCCCGGCCCTTGTGTCGTGGCTGGCGGCGAGACACAGGGACCTGCCCGGGCTGTAAGCCTCCACAGGCACTTTTCATTTGCCATAAAATTTGCTGTTAAACTGTCAAACTGAAGAGAGCAATGGCTTTTGGTACACTGCTATCCCCTCCCTGATTGCATCTGAGCTGCAAAAGTTATTTCACTTTCCAGAGGCTTATTTGCAACAACTCGCACCCCTGGGCTACAGAAAGACCCAGCAAGTCCATGAGGACAGACAGGGCGATGCGGGATGGCTCAAACCGGGCAGCTCTGTGCGAGTGGTGCTGGTTCCCGGCCGCACACAGAGATGCCCCAGCCCACGAGGGTCCGGTGTGCCCACGGCAAGCGCCAGTCAAGTTTGTGCCCTGTGCTTGCCTCCCGGCCAGGGGGCATTTCCAGGCCCCGCTCGCTCCGCAGAGTTTCCCCTGCAAGAATGAGTGGTCGTCTCCTTTGGTGGGTCTGGTGTCATCATTCGTAGAGTGGTAATTGCAAAATACACCAAGGAGAAAGAAATAACTATTTGTCAGGAGGAAGGAGCACCACCTCTGGGTGCAAATACAATTCTGTTTCACCAACCCCAGCCCAACCCCAAAATGCACCCGCCCAGGCGCAGACCCAGGGAGCAGAGGGGACAGAAACCCGTGCGGTGAAGCTGGTCCCCACGCCTCAGCCCTGTGCTCAGAAAACTGCTCTCCCGCCTCCTGCCTTTGATCAGAGGATGGGTTTCTCTGCCGGCTGCTCTCGGTGCTGTGGGTTTCCAGCGGGAGGTGGGGAAGCGCAGTCAGACTGACCCTCCCCTCCTCGGATCTGTCATCAGCAACAGAAAAATCCTTCCCGTCCCCAAGTTACTCAGCCTGAATCCTGCAGGATTTGCCAGGGTGGCAGGATGGCAGAGCAGCCCTGCCCGGCGCCTGCCGCCAGCCCTCCCCGGCAGGGCACGGCCCCCCACCCGGGTCCCAGAGCCAGCCTCGCACCCCCGGGGCCCCAAACCCACCCCAGGGACAAATGGAGCAAAAAAATGGATTTCCTCCTCTCGGTCATCGGATTCGCTGTCGATCTGGGCAACATCTGGCGATTCCCTTACATCTGCTACCAAAACGGAGGGGGTAAGGACACCGCTAGGATTATTTAAGTCTTCTTTTGGAGAAAAGAAATCTGGTTTTCATCTTTCTGATGCTGGAAAACTCGCTGCTTCTTTTCTTTCTTTGTCTCTAGCTGCTCCTCTCCAGAGAGGGCAGTTTAGAGATTGACCCAACTTCTCCTGACATCTGTCTCTTTCTTCATTCAAAATCCCCGTCCGTTCACCCCTTCCCTGTTGTCATTCACTCCTTCCCCGGCATGGTTGGAGGTGCGTTAGCAGCTCTAGGATCACAAAGAGAAAACTAGCATGGTCCAAACTGCATAAAAGGATTAAGAATCTGCAAATTTAGGGTGGAAGGTTTGTACCCTTTATGATCTTGTGACTTTGTGAAAGCAACCCTTTCTGATGGCTTGTGTTTTAAAATAATCCTCGCAAGCATCCCAGCTGCCTGCCGCAGATCCCGGACGTGCAGCCGGCAGTGCTGGACCCCGCGGAGGAGCCCCGGCTCTCTGGGACGCGCAGCCCCGCGCTGCACGGGGCTGCAGGTGTTCACTCCTACGAGGGAGCAACAGAAAGTTAAGATACAAAAGGTCCGTGAAGGAAAAAAACTTGAGTAAATGACAACTAAATAAATTGCTTTACATAGAGCAGAGTAGAAAAGCCCCTTGCATGGAAATTAAAAATGAGGAATGAAAATTTTGTGCTGTTTGCAAAAGCACAGTGGATTTAATTGCCAAAGTCAGCATTCGGGTAACGTCCTCTACTGCTTGGGAAAATTAGAAGGAGATAATTAGTACCATACTCAAGGCTAAAATGTGGATCCCAGGTGCCCACATCCAAGCACAGTTATTTGTGATTTGCTCCTGTGGGACCGGGAGCAAACTTTAGCCACTCTTCATTGATGTGGGTCAGGCAGATGCTTTCCTTACCCGCCCCACGCACACAGGAAGGTGAGAAGTTCAAACAACAGCTCTTGGAAAGGACAGCCATGGACCACGCAGAGCGGGAGAGCTGATCCAGGCCAGTGCTGGGCTCACCCATCAGCTGGAGATGTTCTTAGAAGAGAAACCCTTGAGGGGTTGAGGGTGGAGCGCGTGGAGGGCTCTCGGAGAGAGGAGCCGTGGGGGTTAAATTAACTAATCCCAGCAGGGCTATTCTGACGAGTGTGGTGAGCAGCTCCAGTTCCAAAACCTCCATGGGGTACAAGTGTAGCCCTGGTACAGATGACATTGTTATGAATAATGCAGATTACAGCGCTAATTACTTGTGTCTTGGGGTGACCATGCATATTCAGTGGGATTTTCTCCAAAACTCTTCTAGACCTGAGAGGTGCGTGGTGCCCTATCCCTTGATGGTTTCTATTGCTCTTTGTACCATCCCGGCCAAATGATCTCTCCCCAGCGAAGCCTGGGACGCCAGCCGGGACCAACACAGCAGCCCAGGAGGCTGGGGCACCGAGCAGGGTCCTCACATCCGTGAGCCCCTTCTGAACAGATAATTTGCAAAGCATCTTACAAACAGACGTCCAAACCCCTGGTGCATGCTGCTCCGTGACACATCCCTGCAGCGCTGGGAGGGATGGCAGTGGCAGCCCTCCCCCCGCAGCCTGCCTGTGCTCACTGGCCGGCGCGGGGCCGCGGTGGTCACTGCCGCTCTGCTCCTCACCCCGCAGGAGCCTTTCTCATCCCGTACACACTGATGGCTGTTTTCGGAGGGGTGCCCCTCTTCTACATGGAGCTGGCCCTGGGGCAGTTCCACAGGACGGGCGCCATCCCCATCTGGAAGCGCATCTGCCCCATCTTTAAAGGTAAGAGACCCCGAGCCCCAGGCCACCGCCGCGCACTCGGGGCCATGCAGTGTTGGTGAGCGGGGCCGCGCAGGCGGTGCAGGTCCCTGCAGCCACGTCCCGGTAGACAGCGAGAGGGCTGGACCGGCGCGGGCTGCTGAGTCTGCCCTCCTCTTTCCCCAGGCATTGGCTTTGCCATTTGCATCATTGGCCTGTATGTCTCCTTCTACTACAACACCATCATCGCCTGGGCTCTCTACTACTTCTACTCATCCTTCTCGGGCACCCTGCCCTGGGCGAGCTGCGACAACCCCTGGAACACGCCCGACTGCACCAACTACTTCGGGAGGAGCAACGTGACCTGGACCAACTTCTCCAGGTCCCCCGCCGAAGAGTTTTATACGTAAGTGCGTATAAATGTAGATGATGTGTTTAAGCTGGGGCACATCCCCGTGGAGGCACTCGGGTCTGCTGCACGGGGAGCAGGACCGGGGGGCCTGGGAGCAGGCTTTCACGTGGGGATGCTCTTGGGGAGTTCACGGTCCCCTTTCTCAGTGTGCTGGGAGAGAGGCGAGTGTGGGACTGCCTGCCCAGGGCTGAGCCCGCTCCCCGGCTGCCTGCAAGGGCACAGCCCGCAGCACCACGCTGGCCTGAGACACCCTCCCCGGCTGTGGGGATCCCTGCCCGCAGGAGGAAGGTCCTGGAGGTCCAGAAGTCCGGGGGTCTCTATGACATGGGGGGAATCCACTGGCAGCTGCTCCTCTGCCTCTTCCTCATCTTCACCGTCGTCTACTTCAGCCTGTGGAAAGGGGTGAAAACCTCCGGGAAGGTAAGAAAGAGGGCTCTGCTGCCAGCCCTGCCGGGGCATGGACGTGCCAGAGCCCTGGGCACGTGGGGGCTTGCAGCCCGGCATGCAGCATCCCCTCCCTGGCCAGGGCCAGGCAGGAGGGACCGAGCAGAGCATGTGCCTGGCAGCTGGTGGGGTCTTCTTGGCTGCTTAAACATGGGATATTGCCTCCTCCCCACACCCCTACCCCTCGGCCCCCCTGGGCCGCCATGAGCGGCTGG